GGACTCTCTTTCTTGGAAGCCAAGAACAAAATTCCACCTAAAAAATTGACGGCTTCAGGGACGAATCGCTTTGATAAAGCTACGTACTGCAAAAGAAAATTAACGATGAATACTTTGACATTTTTTGCATAAGTCTTTTCCTACTGGTTTACTCAATGATAACAAAAAGTGATCAGCATCGGACAATGGGGAAACCATTGTTGAGAACATTGCCTCTGAACAGGCTCCGGCTGAAAGGGTCTGACCGCGGCTAAAAGGGCCGAGAAGAAACTGGATGAGAGTGAAGTGACCGAGGGGGGATCCTCGACTGGAGAGCCTGTACACAGGTTATTGAGAACAACGCCCACGACACAGGAAAGACCAAAAAACAAACAAACAAACGAACCTCAAGGAACAGGTCACAGAGGAAAAGACCTCTGAACACGTCTCTCATGCATCGTACTGGGCTCTGCAAGGAATAAACAAACAAATATAGAAGAATAAGCCTGAACGGAATTGATAAACTATAATACATCCCTTCAAATATTTTCGCTCGAACGCGATCAGTCAAATCGCGTCACCTGACTGAATACACCCCAGCTAAACTGGGGAATACCCTAGTGATATTCCCCAATTTTCAAAGCTGAGCGTTTTGCGAAAAATATTTGAAGGATAATAAACACAATTGCCTCCATTTGACTTTGAAAATATGCTCGGATACTTGTCCTTAGACATTATCTGTTCCTCAAAGCTCACCGTTTTCCTCAAGCTACGCTTTCGGAAAACCGTTCGCTTCTCGGAACAGATAATGTCCGCGGACAAATATCATGGCATGTTTTCGCGTCAAATGGAGGCTATTGTTTATCTAAGGTCGCATCAAACACCTAGCTAACACCTGAATCCATGACTAATAAACAAGTTGTGACTACCTGTGCCAAAACCTGAGATAACAGGACCATAGCTGGCGTACAAACAGAGTGTTTGAAGTCTGATGTGGAAAACAACATGGATACGATCCGAAGGTACAGCAACTGAAACAAAATAAGAGTTTATAGTAATGATAGAGAAAAGACCTATTAGCTCTTTGTGAAATCTGCACCAAGAACATTTCCTATACACGATATATGTTTTAGAAATGGGAAGAGCATTTAAGATCCGGATTTAAGATTTAAAAAAACCCGTGCTAACAACACAATGAACAGCATTTACTATAACAATAACGACCACAAAGATACGACGTTGCAAGGATTGTTTCATTTGAAACAGAACTTCTAAAATAGTGTGTTCTAGAGCTTGCTGTCAAGAGATTTATCACAACCTATCTCACATTTATAAGACAAGCTCTAGGATTTCTGTCGCACAGCAATAACGAGATGAGTTGGGTGAAGAAACAAGACACCTCCTGCCTACTGTGCACAACGTTGACTTGTCTTAAACTTACCTTATACCCGGGGGGGGGGGGGACTCCCATATAAAAAGGACGGAGATGCTCGTCGGAAATTTTGAAAAGAACCCTAAGAGGTACCAAGGTCCTGTTTTGTGAGCGTGGCTTGAAATTTCTTTACCCCTTAAAGGTACCAATTCTAAAACAACACATCATCTCCTGTCATATTTTTTCGGCTCAATACCCTAAGAGGTAGCGCAAAAGCTCAAAAGGTACGATGAGCAACCCCGTGCTTTTGAAATGAGAATCCCTCCCCCGGCGGCCTTACATCTCGGCAGTCTAGTTTAATTTCTACCAACTACGGGATACTCCAAAAGTAAATTTTAGAGTCTTACCTCAGGAAGACCCAGGAACATTCCTTTCCCGCCTGAAAGAGGTTATACACAATTTTGTGGTTTAGCTACGAGTACAAATGATTTCCTGAACTCATCAACGTGGAGTTGGTAAAGGTAAATTTTTGTGAAGTTGATATTTCGATTGTTAGACGAAGGCCAAACGCCCGAATCGTGAGCTTCACAAACTGGGAATGTGAATCGGATGAAGACCTTCGCCGATAGACTAGGGAAAGGAATAGATCACGAATAAATCAGGGAGTCTAACACCTTGTCAGTCTTCCGCAAGAAATTGTTTGCTTATTTTTACGATAAGTTCAGTGCTAATTTTTTATCGTGATTATCTTATTTTTTAATATGAGTTTAGAGTAATTTTTAACTAGGTATACAATCATACAATGATACACTAGGGCGGCTTATATTAAGGAATCTTGTATTCTGTTTTAAGCTGTCCTCAAATTCATTGGATTGACTTGTTCAATGTAATGTAATTTGGAATTTGTATTAAAGATTAAAGATTAAAGATTAAAGACTCGCGACTGCCGAGGTTGCATGAGAAGGACTCCAGAAGGTAAATTAAAATCAAAGACATGTGAGAGAGACAGATGCAGGACCAGTTACAACGTTAGTGTAAGGGAACATTCAGTAACGTTGTTTAGTTATAGCCTACAGTGCGACTTAGAGCAAAGAGTATTTAAACAACTAGCCAAAATAGCCTCCTGCGTGACGCTCATTTGGCTCGTCACGCAATCTCTCCTCGCCCGAAGAGTGTCTCCGTTAGAGTGCTCCTGGAGTGGTCCTTCTTTCCAGCGCTTAGTCCGTCGTCCGTGACGCGAAAAAAAAACTCGAGAAAAAAAGCGAAAGAGGGGCTATTCGCAGTCTACAACTCCTAAGTAGGTAGGAGCCTACATAGAACAAGGCACAAACCAGTTGATGATTCACGATTTCTATTAACATACAGATAGAAGTATTACAAGTAAGCTATTTTCACCTTGTCTCTCTCGATTCTCTGTGAACTGTTTGTGTATATCCTTTACAATCTGCTGCATACATTTAGCGGAGTGAACGGGAGAATACTGCGCCACATCAAACAGATGTCTGCAATGAAGCAAAATATAAACTCAACGGCTACTTCAAGCCCTTAACCTTTACATGAGCTGAACTTTAATTCCAAACCCTAGGATGCAAAAACCTTTAGCTCTAATACCCAGAATTTCCAATGAAAGCCCATTTTTTCTGTGAATGCTCGAGGATTTCTAGTTAAAGTAAGGAACTCCGTAAAACTGTAAATTTCCGTCACTTCTGTTTCTGTATCATTTGCACGTTTCACCTGCTTCCAGTCTGTTTCTACTTCCAGTCTGTCTGATTTTGGCAAAGTCGTATTCAAAGGAACTCTAACCGGGTTCTTTCTACCAATGGTTAAGTACTCCTAGTCTACGATCTCTCAGTGCCTGCCAACAAAACGTCTGCGAATCGCTGCCGAGGAGCGAGTTTTGACACATCAGAACTTTTCATCTGCTCGGAACTGAGCTCATCATTCCATAACTAACATGAACTTTACTCGTGTGGTGTTCACTCCATCCAATGCTTGAGGCAACAGCAGGCGACCAATACTTGAGTCTTGGGTCGCGAAGATCCACAATCAGAGACAAACGTGTTGAGACATTTTTGCGAATCGGACGTTTTCAAAACAAGATCCGTACTTCCTTTGATAAAAGAAACACCTTTTACGTCAAAAGTCGCCCCACCCCAGAATCAATGTTGAAGCGGGCTTTGGCGGCGCTGTCACGTCGTTACAACATTGGCACGGGGGGAGGGGGGAAGGGGCGAAATGTGAGGAGTGTAGGTTGGGCAAATTACACTTGAAGGGAGAAAGTTTGCTTTCGGGAAGT